AATTCTAACCATTATAAACTTCAAATTACCTATCTTTTAGGTAATAATGATATCAAAAGTAGCCTATAATACAAATGTGCATACTATAACCTTGACACCAAATTCAATCCTCACTAAAGCTTAAATAAAAAAAAATTTATACCCATTGTACTGATGATGAAATTGGGACTAGAGTTAAATGGCTGACCCCAAATAATATACATAGTCACATAAAGATAATAATTCTGTTGTTCCCAACCCTCCCAAGTGGCTGTGCAAATTAAATGTCATATTCAGTTAGTCTTTTTAGAAATAGTCTAAAATTTTAAAAATTAAAATGGAAACAAATATTGTGTGCCTATTTAAAAGTAAGTCTTTTACAAGACAAACTGGAGCTCACAGATGTAAATGGTATTGTGCCTTGATTAAGGAAAAGTTGCCACTTTTTAAAGTCAGAGGCCCTAAGAGCCCTACATGTAAGATTTTCTTCAATCTTTTCCTTTCCAATGTTTTTCCAAGTTTTTTGTTGATCTTTTCCATGTCCTTGTTATCTCCTACTTATTATTCAATTCTTCCTCTTCATTCTTCCCTTTCCTATATGGTATTAATTGAAATAGTGGATATAATTTTAAAATAACAAGCATATAAGCAGGAAAAGAAAGTTGATGTAATTTAGGGAATCATTCAAAACACAGTAAACCAAAATAGTTACAGTAACTTTAATTAGGTAAAAGTTCTTAAAATTTATGTAGATTACCAATAATTAAATCTGACAGTAAACAATAGGAGAACGCTGTAATTATTCACACTCAAAAACTTGTTTCTCTGGTATAATTGGTATCATTAGGTCAAAAGAGGAATTTTTAAGCTTAGCAGTATAGCAAAACTGATTAGAAGGGGAGAAATTGTTGATGTAAAGGATAAACAAAATCGTTGAGCAAGCAACTGAAGATGGGATCCAATACAAAAATGAGTAATGTTAATCTTCACTAGAGCTGAGACCATCCCTCGAAACAGTAGGGAAGGCAATGTAGAAGAAATACATAATGTTGGTTGTCTCCAAAATTGATATTTCATCCTACATTCTTTCTATCATAATCCAAATTTTTGTTTAAATATGGTTAGAATGAAGTACCTTTAGTGGACTGGATTTAACCTATCATAGTATTTCCTTTTTGTATAATTTGTCTATAGGTGTGTATAACATTCAAACATGTCCAAAGAAATAGAAGAGAACATTTATTGAAAATTTTGGGGAATTTTTTTCTTCTTTATTGAAAAGAAGAAACATTCAAAGAGAAACTTCTGCTATCTGTGTTTGGTTATGCTAGGACATGAAGTGGGAATTTGCCACACATGTTATAACCAAAAGTATTAAAGAAAACCCACCCAGAGCTTTAAAAATTTTAAGCTATCAAGTTAGCCATTGATCCATTGATTAAATCAGCTGTTCCTGTTTTGTTTTGTTCTTTAAAGCCAATTATAGTAGTACATTTTGCTGTCTGCTGGTAAAAGCATCCTAATTGGAACGGAATGTAAAGAAAACTAAATTCCCTAAATAAACAAAGTACATTTTAAGTGGAGATTGAAAGGCGTGATGGTAAAAAACAATGGTATTTTCTTTTGGTGGCTTCCGTTTTGTTTTTGTTTTTTTTTCCAGAGAAGCAAGAATAGCATTTAATGTCAGTGAAGAAAGGCTTTAAGATGTTTGAGTGAAGGGAAATATGAAAGAGTCATCTTGATGAATAGGCCAGAATGTGTTCTAAGGAAACTAGAACTGAATGCCCAGTGAGGATTACTCACTAAAGACTAGTGACTACAAGTTTAAAGTGTAAAACACTCATCATGATTCCTTTCTTTCTTCAGGCATGTTCATATATTTAGTTACATGCACAGAGTAAGCAGAATGATGAACTTAATCAGGTTTGGCATTTTTGCAGGCAAGTTTTGAAAGCACTAGAGAAAGACAAAGAAACTGGGGCCTCTGCAAGGGAGTGATTAAAGTGATTAATCATGGAAACAAGCATGGGTAAAGAGAAAATTGAGAATAAGATAAGGTTGTTGACAGTGAAGAATAGGTTGGGTCAAAGGAGTGGTTGTTTCATGGTGGCAAAAGAATTGTTGGAAAGAAGAAGCTAAAATGAATTTGAAAGAGAACATGTAAGTGGTCAGTGTAGGTTGCTTATATATGAGATGTTTGAGAGACTTAGTATTAAACACATCAATAAAATGGAGAGTAAGTTACACTGAATAATGATAGGAATAAAGTTAGAAGTAGAACGAGCTAGCCACTAGGACCTTTAAATACCAGAGAAGAACCTCAGAGACTTCAGATGACAGCAAATAGGAGAAGTAATTGAGGACTCTGAAATCAAGCATTCCAAATGATTGCCTTAAAAGGGGGGAACAAAAAAGGAGAAATAAGATAAAGTGATAATGAGAAGGACAATTACACCACCTCCAGACACTATGGTATTGGGATGTGAGAAAAAAACAGGCATAAACTGAGAATGCTTTGGGGGAAAAGTCAGCTCAATTTATGAACTTCAGTTTTCTTAACTATAGAATGTTGCTAATATTGTAACTTCCTAGGTTAAAGATATTGAGGATAAAATGAGAACAGTAAAACACCAGAAGTCTGTTAATACTATAAACCCAAACAAAACAAAGTCTCATTCACATCCATGTAACTCACATTTTTAAGTCATACCACACTGTTAATGAAAACCCCTTTGGTTGTATTGACTTTTCACTTTGTTCCATGCACTCTTAATAGACATTGCAGAGCCAGTAATGAGAAAATTCACCTCTGTGGGGTAGCCTTAAAAACCTCAACTGAGAATTCAGTTATAAATGGTTCTTGTTTATAATTTCATCAGGCATTTATCAAAAGTATATGCATGTTTTAAATTGGAAGTAAGACCCACTTCAAACTGAATTTCCATAAATAAAGTTCTATAAATTATGAACTCATTGCATAAAAATAATCTCAAAATATACAAGACAAGATACTATGGGTAAATGGAAATACTAAACAACTTAAGCTACAACACTACAGACACTGTACTTATCAGACATAGCCTTAAAAATAATTATGTATTCAAATAAGTGTAATAAATCTTGAAGGTGTGAACATAGAACAAGAAACTTTCAGAAATCAAACTGATTTATCAATAATACAAGAAAGGGAATAGGATAATGTCTGCAATATAGTTTACTTCAAAGTTACTGATCTGTTTATTAAACTCAGTGATTATATCACTATTCTTTACATCTTTCATATTTTATAAATACTTTATAAATGTATGGTATTTATTAAAAAAAAACAATTTTAGGATCTGCCTCCTTAGTGCAGTAGGCAGTGCGTCAGTCTTATAAAAAAAAAAAACAATTTTAGACCATTCTAAGAAATATTGTATAGTTATCCAAAAGGATAAGACAAAGGTAGCTATCTAATTAATTTAATAAAGGAAGTTAACGTTTAATATGTACATGCAGATTGCATTTTATAAAGAAGCACAATATCAGTAAGCTTATATTCAGTTATTATTGTATGTACATACACATATGTGTCTATTATTTATATATAAAGTTAGAAGTTCACAAAAATATAGTGAATAACCCCATCAAAAAATGGGCTAAGGAGCTTCAAAGACACTTCTCCAAAGAAGAAATGCAGATGGCCAGCAGGCATATGAAAAAATGTTCAGCATCACTTATAATAAGGGAAATGCAAATTAAAACTACAATGAGATACCATCTCACACCAGTGAGAATAGCACATATTAAAACAACTAGCAACAACAGATGTTGGCAAGGATATGGAGAAAAAGGAATGCTCCTGCACTACTGGTGGGAATACAAACTGATACAACCATTACGAAAAGCTGTTTGGAGGTTTCTAAAAGGCTAATGTAGAGATTCCGTATGACCCAGCAATCCCACTCCTAGGTATATACCCAAAGGACACAAAACATTGATTCAAAAGACACCTGCACCCCCATTTTTATTGCTGCTCTATTTACAACAGGGAAAATGTGGAATCAACCCAAATGCGGCATAAGATGCGGTACATATACACAATGGACTCAGCAATCAAAAAAGATAAACATGTGCCTTTTGCAGTACCATGGATAGACCTGGAAGGGATCATGCTTAGTAAAATAACCCAGAAAGAGAAAGAAAAATACTGGATGGTTTCACTCATAGTAGGAGCATAAGGGATGGGGGGGGGGGGAGACTAACAAACGTAATACCGTAAAAATGAACACAAAGAACAACTATAAACCAGAGACATCTGTGGAAGTTGGAGGGGGAATGAGATCGGAACTCGGTTGGGAAAAGTGAAATGGACTGTGGTGATGGCACACAGGTGAATTAGTGATGGGAGGCCCATGGGGATTATAACTGAGATGGAAAAATGCACAAAATGAAGAATGATGTAAAATTAAATAAATATATAAATACCAAAGACAAAATATGTTACACAGCTTTTTAGTTATAAAGTTATAAATTATTTAACAATAAACATGTCCACTTATTCAAGTATACATTAAAAAAAGAAAAAATCTGGAAGTATATATATTAGTATGTCACAAGTGAAAACAATGTTAGAGAAGAAGAAGGGAGTTATTAAATGAGGAAACTCAGTTTTTAATTTGTGTTATTATTATAAAAGTAAGCATTTTTAATAATGATGAATTCTCTTATAGCTAACCATCTAGGTCAAGAACTTTGCCAACCCCTAAGGAGATCTCCTGTACATTTTCAGTCACAGTCACTATCTCCTCCCTCCCCCAAAAGTAACTACTCATTTTTTATGGAAGTCATTTCTATATATTTATTTATTATTTAATACCAAAGTATATATCCTATCCTGTACATTGTAGTTTTTCCCAACTTCTTTTTTATTCTATACTATTGCTTCGATTTTTTTTCAGAGATTCATGTTAACCATTTGTTTGTTTTTTCTTATATTGTTAATAGCTCTAATTTCCTAATTTTGTCTTTTTAATGTGCAGGTTTGCCCCTGCATTCCTATGCCCTTGCAATTCATCGGTTGAAGACTCTGAACCAGTTGGCCTGTAGCATACTGTGTAGTCTGGAGTGTGCTGATGTCGTAGTCATTTGAAAGATCTGTGTTCTGTTTCTACAAATGGAAAGGTAAATTCAGAGGCTTAATCAGACTCATCTCCAGTCCTTTTGACAATACTATAATGGTATTGATTTCTTTCTTAGAGAGACACATAATGTATTTTTGCTTTGTTTTTTGTGATGTTGGCAGCTGTTGATGTTAAATGCCTGGATCCAATAAATCATTGGAAATTGCAAGTGAGTAATATATAAATTCAATCTTCCATTGCTTAGTTTTTATTTGAAGTATTATTATAAAGAGATACTCTCTTCTCATCTATTTTTAAAATATTTATTTATTTATATATACAGAACTGAGGTACAGGCCAGAGGTGCAGTATTTTATAGTTACTAGATGGAACAAAGTATGACTGTGATTCTGTGTTTACAACCTTATTTAACTAGGATTACCTTATAATAACTTATATAGTCACATTGGAAATTAGGCTCAAACATTTGAATTTTACAGGAACACAATTCAGTCCATAACATTAATTAAATGGATTACCTGAAATAAAGAAATAAAAACATTCAACACTATTTAGAACATGGAAAAAGATGAATTTTGGGAAGATGAGACATTGCTTAGCCTAATAAGATAACATTGATTCTGTGGAAGAGTATGCTTACAGAGTTAGTCTGAAATTACAGACATTAAGTTAGGGAATGTAGGCTGTCATCAAAATGAGAATCTCCAATCAGTTATAGACTATTAAATCTGATTTGTTTTATAGCTGAGAGCTCCAAAACTCAGAGAAGTGAATATCACACACCCAGAAAGTAGCAGGATCAGGATTTTCTCTAGAAATATGTTAAACCAAGATTAGTACTATTTCTAATGCAGTCTCTCCCCCTCTGTTGCCAATAAAATATTCACAGTTTTTCTGAGGGTGGATTCTAAGCCATGAGCCAAAGCTTCTATTTTGACTGGATTCCATTCAGTAGTTTTAAGAAGTATTTTGGGCTTCTTGTTTCTGTAATGCTGTGACTAAATGAAACAGACCTGCATAGGAATACAGATTTGTGAAAACTGATTGAACAGAAATGAAAGAACATTGAAGCTATTTCTTCCCTGCTGGATGAATACTCTAAGTTGTAAAAATAACTCAGGAGGTATTATTCTTAGGGATATCTCAGGAAATTGGCATCCATATCCATTGATGTTTTAAGCATTGCCAACCACAAAGGTGGTTGTAAAATTAGATGAACTCATGAACACACTAGAGTAGGTAGTACCAGGAGATTATATAGAAAATTTTTTGTTATAAACTTGAATAAAATGATTTAGTAGACTGGCCTAAATTATTTCCTATGACAAATACTAGAGTGACTGATAGAACAAGTCAAATAAACTATGCTAAGAGATCAATGTTATTCTCGTTCATATGTATATGTATTTAAGTGTGTAATAGCAAATACATAGAAATCGAGTAAAAACATTATTTTCTTTACAAATTTGTTATAGCTTGATTATATCTATACCTACTAAATAAACTTCATGGTAATAAAATAATTACTTCACTAGTAGATTCTAAAATTTTGAAAAAGCCTGTAAGCCAGAAACTCTAATAATGTCTCACTAATACATCTTGAAAATTGTTATCAGAAATATTGTCTATAGTAAATGAGGAGAGCAGATCCTCATATTTATCAATGTAAAGACAGATTGTGAGTTAACTGACTTGATATGAGTGTTCTGCTAGACAAAGATGATAAAATGAGTTATGGTTTTGGGAGTTCTAATGGAAATCCTAAAGAATTGTCAGTAGGCACTAAAAGCAGAAAGGAAAAGACATAGATGAAAAATAACTAAAATTACATTGGAAAATTTGAGGCAATTGACACTATACATAAGAAGCAACAATAAATAAGAATATATATCTATATATATATATTCATATGCACACATATATGTAGACATATGTGTGAGCAAGAACTAAATGAAAGAGGAATTAATTGATAATGAGAGAATAGCTGGTTATCTTATCAGTCTGCCAAGCAATACTATGCTACCATAACAAAAAATACAAATTTTTTTTTTTTTTAAAGATTTATTTATTTATTCATACAGAACTGGGGTACAGGCCAGAGGCTCAGGGGCGGTGAGAGGCTTCACCAGAGACAGAGTGGGGAGCAGAACAGGCAGATTGACGAAGTACACTGCTGAGGGAAGCAGCGGGCGGGTCAGGAGAGATCTGGCTCGCCATGTGGTCTCCTCCGGGGCAGGCGGCAGGCGGGAATCGAACTCATGCGGAAGTGGCTTCAGATTCTCAGTGCTGCGCTTTAACCCGCTGCGCCACCAGGGAGGGCCAAAAATACAAATTTTTTATAACTAAAAAAAATTGCTTCTTTTTCCCTCATGTTAAGTAAAACCCAGACCAAAATTAGATTGTACCTTTGTTCTATTGCTTCATTATAAGAATCATTCTGAAGGAACAGTTTTTGTTTTGTGGTTTTTTTTTTTTTTTTTTTTTGGCATAAAAGACTGGAGTATAGGCCAGTATTGCTGAGGATAATAGGATTCACCAGAAACAAAGTGGGAAGCAGAACAGGCAGATTTATTGAACTACATTCCTATGGGTAGCAGCAGGAAAGACAGAAGAGGTTTGCTGTGTCATATGTGAGTTTACTCCCTGGCTGGGGATAGAATTAAGACAGTAGCCATGATAGGGCTGAGACTTAACCCCTAAGACAGGGAGTCCATGAAGGAACACAGGAAACAGGATACACACCACCATGATGGCCAAGAAAAAAAAATAAATGTAGATAGCTTTTATCTCTCTAAAGAGAAAGCATGTGTTTTGAAATAACATTTGTCACTTGTTGCTCACATTTCATTGGTCAAACTAAATCATACAATCAAGGTTGATATATGGCAAGGAAATAACATTTTTTTTTCATAGGGATGGACAGCAAATGTCTTGGAGAAATAATATTTTTGAGCACAGTTACCAAAATGAAATAAGAGTCAATGGATATCAATTTGACAATTTAGGTTTTCTAAAGGATTTTCCAGCCTTTGAGGCTTGACTTCCTATCCATTCTGCTCTTGACTTCCTATTGCATTACTCTCAGTTTTTACTAATTTATACAAAAGCTTTCATGATATCAGAGTGGAAAATTACTGAGAATATCCAGAAGAACCCTAGGAGTCTTCCTGCTGGAGGAGCCTGGGGGAAGTAAGCAGAATCTGCAGCCACCTGAGGAAGAGTTAAGAAGTCCTGAAAAACTCTGGTCTATGCAACTACAGATGAATGAAGCAAGACTGATGTTTTAAAACTTAAAAAAAAAAAAATTCAACTTAGTTAACCTAAATGTTGAGTTTTAATAGAAAATTATGCACCAAACAGTCAAATTAATTTATATCTGTCTGACTTTTCTTATAGGCTTTGCAACCTCATTTTTTTTCTCTGTTTCTCCATGCTCAAGCAATAAATGGAGTAGGATTGTAAGTCAGCATTTTGCATACTGGAAAATTGTAATCTCTAAAATCTGTTAAAACTAGTTAAAAAAACAGAATTGATGTGAACATGATGTGAAAATAATCTACTGGTATTTCTTAGATGCACATAGATCCTTATTCGCAAACATTCTCTATATCTTCTTTAAAATATCAACAATACATTTGATGCTATCTATGCAGCTAGAAATATGAAAAAATCAACTTAACTGTTTTTAAGTAAAAGGTAACAAAAACTGGCCCTCCCTGGTGGCGCAGCGGGTTAAAGCACTGCACTGAGAAGCTAAAGCCACTTCCGCATGAGTTCAAATCCCGCCTGCCCTGGAGGAGACCACATGGCGTGGCAGACCTCTCCTGGCCCGCCCGCTGCTCCCCTCAGCAGTGTGCTTCGTCGATCTGCCTGTTCTGCTCCCCACTCTGTCTCTGGTGAAGCCTCTCACCGCCCCTGAGCCTCTGGCCTGTACCCCAGTTCTGTATGCACAAATAAATAAATCTTTAAAAAAAAAAAAAAATTGCTTTGCTTTAAAAAAAAAAAAAAAAGTAACAAAAACTAAATGATTGTTGATTAATGATACTATGAAAAGAAACCAAATGTGATATGTTTTTAAATCCAATTTGAAAATTTATATACCTATTTTAAAAAAAAGCTAGGTAAAAATCTAATCTTCTACAAACACTAGGATGGGCTTTTCCCCTTAAAACTGGTCCTGGTCCTGTGAGAAGTCTTTTTATTTATTTCCTTTTCATTAGGAAACAGGTGCCAATTAATTGCAAATGTACTTGATGAAACCTCACAGGGCATTTTATGTTGTATCAGTTAAATTCCCAGTTCATGTTTGAAGATTTTATAACCAAATTCATTACTATTAAATCATCATAAACACTGCATGCATTATGTTATACTTAATCACATGACAATAAAATGTGTCCAATATTTAATTAGAAACTGAAAAACTTAAGTGAATGTTAAATTTCTTCTTCATCAAATATTTTCTCTTCATCCAGTCAAAAATAAAAAAGGAATAAGAAGAAAACAATACGTTCTGAAGTGCAAGATGGAAAGAAGCTATTGGTTAGCACAGAGCAACCTATGTGTTGTCATAAATCAAATAGGGACAGCCCAGAGCAGGTCTTCCAAAATTTCAGTGTCCAAATATTTTGGAGATCTTTTTAAGCTGCCTATACTCAGTATATCTGGGAAGGTCCAGATGTTCTTTGTTACTGCAAGTTTCCAGGTAATGTGGTTGCTGTGTTCCATAAATAGCCAGATGCTAAATGATGGTAAAATCTTTGCCAGAATTGCTGCAGAGAGACAGCAGAATACAGAAGGGATTCTACCCCACTTTCTTCAACTAGCTTTAGGCTCAAATCATTTCATTTCTAATCTGTTTGGGACTGCTTCAGTGAACAAAGGTCAACAATAGAACTGGATAGGGATGTGAGTAAGGACAAATAGAAAAAAACCTTTACACTGCTGGCCTTTATCATAATTTTAACTTTACTTCACTTCAAAGATTCTTGTCTGAAAATATAACTCAGTCTCTCAGAAGCACTAATCTTTGATCACAAAGTGGTGAGGCGGGGTGTTTTAAGTGCTTTCATAATTCACTTCCAGTGACCAAGAAGAGTTGATGGGCTGTTCAGGGAAAGTTATTAAGACTAAAGCTGTGACAATGTGATTCATTTTTAGGAGAATTGATCTCCTGTAACTACAAAATTAGTATTATTTTCAATGGAATATTGCTCAGCAATCAAAAAAGATAAACTCACGCCATTTGCTACAACATGGATAGAGCTGGAAGGAATCATGCTTAGCGAAATAAGCCAGAAAGAAAAAGAAAAATACCTGATAGTTTCACTCATAGGAGGGGTGTAAGGAAGCAGGAAGTAAAAAGTAATTGTGGGTCCTCCCTGGTGGTGCAGTGGGTTAAAGCACAGCACTGAGAATCTAAAGCCACTTCTGCATGAGTTCGATCCCCGCCTGCCCCGGAGGTGACCACATGGCGTGACAGACCTCTCCTGACCCGCCCACTGCTCCCCTCAGCAGTGTACTTCGTCGATCTGCCTCTTCTGCTCCCCACTCTGTCCCTGGTGAATCCTCTCACCCTCCGCATCTCTGGCCTGTACCCCAGTTCTGTGTGAATAAATAAATAAATCTTTAAAAAAAAAAAGTAATTGTAATAAAGCCACTCTATGAGAGATGAAGGGAAACAGGATCAAGGCAGGTGGGAAGAGCACAGGGGCCATGGGCACGCAGGTAAATTGGTGGTAGGAGTTCCATGGTGGTTAAAATCAAAATGAAAAAGCACACATTGTACAAAAATGAAAAACTATGTAAAAATATTTAAGAGACAAAATAATAAGTAAAATTAGTGTTAGTTGACTGTCCAGGGAGTGGTCCAAAAGGATCTTTGGTTTGATGGCAACCTAGTGCTTTTCAAAAGACCAAGAGGACCACCATCTTTTCTACTATCACTTATGGAAACGCAGCTTAGTTCTTCCCACTAGTGATTTATAAGCTAATGACAATGCTTCTGAACATTTTTCTTTCAGGTTGGAGCTGAGTACTAGATGCTTTTACTGCTTAAAAAAAAAAAAAAGAAGAAGAAGAAGCTCTTGTCCACAGCACATCTAAAAGACTTGCCATTAAGCTCTCTGTTATTCGCCTCTCTTCTGCTTCTGCTGACAAGGTAAGCATTAATTGTGGCCTGAGTGCTAGCTTTCACATTAATGTTCATCAAATACATTATTAGCTTTTTTTGATAATACAAATCATATAAAGTTAAAACTTAAAATATTTCTATTTGTCAAAAAAGTGACTAACATGAAATTGATAATAGAAATAAACACTTTAATTCATTCCATTAAGCATGGAAAGGAAGATAAATTTTCTGCCTTCAATGATTTATTTAATGAAATTATAAAATGTAGTTTTTGGTCACAAAAGAAGATTTGAGTAGCTCAAAACAGGCTGGAGAAAAAAATGCTGCCATTAATTGCGTTTTAATTTGCAGTACCAAAGACAATACTGGGATACCAGGCTACGTTCACCTTCATAAGAAGCTATAGAAACTGATATGACTATGCAACTTTTGATGAAAAAAATGCATCTTACAGAATAATATCTGATATACTTAACTGGAAACACACTTTACTTTTTAAACAAATTATACTGCCAAGGCATTTTCTTTAATTTTTAATATACTAAATTTGTACTTAACTGATAATCTTTATTTTTGCAAAAGATCATTTGCCATACAATTGATAAGATAGAGCTTCAAATTATTTATTCCAACATGAGCAATTTTAGTGTCACCTGACTGCTTGTAGAATATATAGCTTCAAAGTTTGTTATGACAGATTTTTTATTAATTATGCACAATGCAGAATCATATAGTTCAGCTGGTATTTTACTTCTTGTGAAAAACACAATGTATTAGGGAAAAATTATCTTCACTTTACTCTTTCTTCTCTCTTCTCTGCCACATTAGGTCCCAGATTCTCCTGACTTATAGCATCTCAGAAAACAGGTTATAGGTAATGAATAAAACAATGTTGAGGTTGTATTTTGTAATAAGTCCTTCCTGTATTAAATAATTCCTCTATATAAACTTCCAATCTACACAGAAATGCCCTCATTTCTAATTTAGCAAGTGTGTAGCAAAGGAATTGAAGTGAATGATTACACTTTCTGATCTGGACAGGAATACAAGGTGCTGGGAGCACTCTCTCCTTCTTGCAGTGTGTTACAATATAACCTGCCAGTGCATGTCAATCAGGGGTCTAAGAAAAAATACTTCAAAGAGTATTCCAACCTACATCCCCTATAATGGGCCTAAAATGTGCCTCAGGTGGTATGATTTAAGTAATTGTAAATGCCTGTGGGCAAAGTTTTCTAGTCCTTGACATACATATTACCTGAATTTCAGAAGCTCATAAAATTGATAGTAACTATTACCAGATGGGAAAGAAGACAAATCTGATCATGAAAAATGCAATTTTTTTCTTATAGTGAATATCACCACTTTCATTCTTTGGAAAGTTAATTACAACCTTAAATGGCTGAAATCCAAAATGTAATTATGCACATTTTTAAAAAAGTTATAAAGCAAAATTCCAAAGGTTGGTTTCTACAAGATATTTTTGCCCACCAGAAACTAAAGGAAATTGTACCAAAGATGCCTAAATGAATATGTTTTACCTGTTTTTTTGTTTGTTTGTTTGTTTAAAGATTTATTTATTCATACAGAACTGGGGTACAGGACAGAGATGTGGAGGGTGAGAGGACCCACCAGAGACAGAGTGGGGAGCAGAACAGGCAGATCAAGGAAGTACACTGCTGAAGGGAGCAGCAGGCGGGTCGGGAGAGGTCTGCCGCGCCATGTGTAACTTCTCTGGGGCAGGCAGGGATCGAACTCATGCGGAAGTGGTTTATGCTTCTCAGTGCTGTGCTTTAACCCGCTGCGCCACCAGGGAGGGCCCTGTTTTACCTGTTTTTATAAATATACACTTGTTTTGGTCCAGGAAGTCATCAGGTAACCACTGGCAAATGTGCTTCAGTTCTAAGATCAAGCTCACCATACCCTCCACTGAAAATGACCACTTCAGCTTGATGTCATGAAACAGAGGGCATTGTCTACCTTAGTCCAGAAATGACTACACCAATTTTCTAACATGTTATGGTTTCTCAAATACCTTACTAGATTTTCAGTCAACTTTCCAACCAAACTAAATGTCTTTTTAAAGATTTATGTATTTATGCATACAAGAGCTGAGGTGCAGGCCAGAACTGCAGAGGGTGAGAGGTTAACCAGAGACAGATTGGGGACCAGAAGAGGCAGATTGACTGAAGTACACTGCTGCTGAGGGGTGAAATGGGTGGGTCAGGAGATGTCTGCCATGCCATGTGGGTCACCTGGCAGGGAATCGAGCTTGTGCTGCAGTAACTCTGGTAGCTTCATAGTGTTGTGCTTTAACTAGTTGTACCAACTAGGAAGAGCCCCAAAAATAAACATTTTAATCATTAGGAAGTTTTTACTATATAGTGAATATAATGTAACATATTGAAGAGTGTATAAGCACAATTATATCTTGAAGAAATATGATAAAAATGCAAAGATTTAAAAAATCTATATAGTCTGTATTATTTAAAATTATAAGATATTGCTATGGAACATCAAAATTGAGTTAAATAAATGGCAAAATCTGTGTTTCTGCTAGGAAGAATGTATATTGTAAATATGCTATTTTCCCTAAATCAATTATATGATCTGAAGAACTATTTGATAACACAAATCAAATCCCTTAAGAACATACATATCTTCTAGAAATTTATCTAAAAGACCAGTGTACTATAGATAAACTTTTCTGTGATACAGGCAAATCACTTTCATGACTGACATTAGCAGATTTATTACATAAGCTAGAATATATGAAACTCTACTTTGCAGACTTACATAATTATTATGCCTGCAAAATATTTAAAGTTGTAAAACTTTCCACATTAATTTTATGATAAAAATGAATTATAGGATACTATAAAATATAGTTCCATTATAAATAATTAAGATACTCAGATAAATAATTTCAAATGTATATATAGATAGAAAAAAAGCTGAAACAATATGAACCAAGCATGTATTAGTGGTTACCAACAGTGTTGAGCCAACAGTTCAACAGGATTATAAACAATTTTTGTTCTACAAAAAATAGTTTCCTATGGGTTCCAAGTGCTATTTCATTGACTTAGCTTATAAATTATGAAGTAGTATTAAAACAGAAATACAGAGAAGATAATTACAAATGGCAAATTTAACATATTAATTTTATTCGATAATCTAACCTAGGAAATAACCCCATATCAGTTTGTCACATCCTATTCACAGATAAGATATCTAATCCCATTGTTTGGAATTATCAAGGTGCTAAAATAATTCTCTCCTCTTTTATCTCACATTTGAGTTCTATGTCTAATTCTTGGACAGTGTAAGAGTGTCACAGCTGATAGCCTGTTACATTTAGATTTTTGTGTAGTTTTCTTTTTTACATTGAAGGCAGTTTTTCAGGAAATATGTGCCTCATCTTTAATTTTCTCAGGTTTGTGAAAATCAAGAATATTTGACTTTATATGCTGGCTAAACTGAATCCTCCTTTTCAAATGGCAGAGAGCTGTTCTCTCCACAAAGAGGTAATCCATGCTCCAGGGGATAACTGCCTACTTACTCTTGCCTGGCATGCATAACAAAGCTTCATCATCCAGAGCATGTTGTACATCTCAACTAGAGAGAAAACTAATCAATTTTCTACAGATGTGTTCATTCTAATCCTGTGACATCAAGAAGTCTGTAAGTGCGTTTTCTTGTAACAATATGAGATGGCAAGGTGAGAATGAGGAAAATGAGGCAATAGAAAGTCATGCCACATTCTGAACCTGCTCAGTGACAACTTCATAGTTTGACACTACAGTTGTTTCTGATCCAATATAGGCTACTTGATCTAAAGTGGAAAAAATGTTTTATTAAGGCTGTAGAAATATACTAATATTGTATGCTATAAGACCTCAATTTTCTGGAAGCAAATAAACAAAAGTCCTCAGTACCTTTGCCCATGATGTTATTTCTGCCAGGAATTCTCACACCACTACCATTTCATTGAGTTCATACCCAATTGTCTCTCAGTTTCCACTTTAATAAGATTTTTCTTTATAAACATTTATCTGACTATTACTAATGTCACCAACTAATGACCATAGTTTGTCCCATGCTATATGACAATCCCTTAATTTAGCTATTTGCCTTCCCCAACAAGTTGGAAACTATGGTGAGGCAAGAATCATGTCTCTCTTAGACATCATTTTATCCTTCACATCTAGTTCAATACTTAGTACATTGATGACCTCATTGGTCACAAAGTGGGTAGGCACCAATGTTTCTCCTCTTGCATTTGAAATTAAGATAAGCTATAATTTTGGGTGTATCATTAAAAAATTAGAAAAGCTCCCAAAAGAACATTGTGAGTCCCCTGTTCCTCCCACACTGAAGTATTTCTCTTAGCAATACCTATAATATATTACCTAGTCAATGTTGTTAGGTCTTGACTCTGTGAATCTCAGGAGATATTAAACATGGAACGGACAAGAGGTTCACTTATGTGAGAGTATTTTAGTAAATGAAAAAATATATATACTCAATCCTAAGGACAAGGAATATGGTGAAAATTTGGAACACAGAATGAAGAATTTGAAATTGGTTAAGATTTGTAGCGATAAGAGGTTAAGCATTAGCAAAGCCTGCCTAGTGAGATTAAAACATTTAAGGAGTCAGTAGCCCACCTTGATAGTTTAAATTACTTTGGTTGGTTGAGAAGCAGGTAAAAGAGAGGTTTAAGAGGAATTAGATTAAGGTCAAATGTGCAAGAAGCTAAGTTCAAAAATACAAATCTTAAAAGTGTGTCCAAAAGAAGATTATGTTACTAAAGATGACATGATTTAAGATACAAGCTCTATGGAAGCATTATATAGTGGATCATTGGCATGGAAAAGGAAAATGTCAGCTACTTTGTAAGACCTTATTCTAGTAGTCAATTTGAGATAGGAAAGCAGTTCACAAGAGTTATCATTGAGTCTGGTGGTGTCCTGGTGAATCATGTGTGGTGTAAGAAGAACAGAGAATTTTCCTGAAAAGTGAATACA